CCCAGCAACGTCAGAAAAAAACGTAATGCATTCTAAAACTGCATATCCACTATTTTTCTAAAAATTCTTAATATTTTTTTTATAAATTTTAAGTTTTACTTTTGCAATTTTTTCGTTTTGGTTGAACCCTAAAATGGTTTTCAACTAGTTTTTATCATGCAACATTTAATCACAGGAACAGGAGAACGGATTTTTTTCAACATTGTAATTTATCTGCAGTTTGCTTTAAAAATTTTAATACAAATACACACATAAACCAATAAAAACTTAAAAATTGAGCTCGAAAAATCTCTCTAAATTTTATTAGCTTTCATTAAAAAAAAAATTATAAAGTTGGTGGAAAAATTAAGGCTATACATTAGCAAGCTGCATTTTAAGTCGCTACACTATGTCTATTTCCTCTTGGAAATCAGTTTTATCTTCAAAAAATCAATATACGAATTTCCTAACAAAATTACTTTTTATACAATTAAACGGATCAAAGCTGTTGCATTCTCTTTTGAAGATGTTGGTGATCGAAAAATGGTTTATTTAGAGTGAGTCTTACGAACTATTTATTATTTTCGACATGTTCTGTATTTATGTATTTATCAAATGTATTTTTTGTTAAAAATAATAACATTAGTAATAGAACGTGTACCAACTGCTACGCAATACAAATTTATGTTTTTTTTCCTACCACTTTTACGACTACTTCGCAAAACTGCGCAAGCAATTGGAGAATCATTCAAATAACAAGGAATTGTAAGTGCGTGCTTAAACACTCCTTAAGTCGTGAGTGTCATCAATGTGCATAATTTTCAGAGTACTTACATACATACATACATACATACGCATGCACACAATTGTCATTCAACTTATAATTTTGCATTTAAAAAAATCGAGATTAAATTATTAACTTTTTAAGTTTACATTATTGCAAGCTATACTATAACCTATACATATGTACATATGTATTTATAATGATTACATAATCAATTACTAATAAAAAAATCCGTTTCTAAATTGTTATTGGTTAGTAACTGTTTACAAAAAAAAAAAAAATAAATTGGACTATTTATTTCTTGTTATGTGGCGATATTTAGTATGAGGACACGTAATAGCGACGTGCCATATTTTTCATTGACGCCTTTGCTGGGACTTTAGCATTAAGTCGCAATCACAATTCATTTGTTTATTTACATTTGAACTCACGTATCTGTATGTAGGTTTATCTACCTAGAAGTTACATAGTATGCATATAGTATTTTCTTTATATTATGTATGAAACAAATAAAGAAATATGCCGACACATGAACATACATATATTTGCGCATATGTACATATGTATGTATGTATGCCTTTATGCATGTATTAAATGTGCGTCCAAGGGGCCGTTGACGTAGTTAACGATAATGATGAAATAAAGCTTGGCTTTAGTTTTAGAATGAATTGGCAAATGCGTACTAATCGGATTTAATAATTTTATTGTGTGTGCATTCATACATATACATATGTATGTACATCAATGCACTTTGTACCTGGGTATGTGCAGTTTATTGTAAAACAAAATATTTACAGCTAAATGAAATACTAAATACATAATAAACATTCCCACGACAGCCGATTCTACGTACCGGAATGGGACGGGTTTTACCCGACCAAGGGCTGCTGTTTCGGCAATCTAACCCCGTTTAGGTCGGCGAAGTACCTCAGAAGTTGTTCGTCCATAGGGTATCGAGTCAAACCCAGGGCCAGAAACCTACACCTGATGTGTATGCCAGAGACGACTACACCACAACTCCACCTCAGTCAAGTGCAATGCTTGCGAGGAGTGGAGTCACCTCAGAGTCTGCTCAGGATTATGGACACATCGGCAGTAGACCACGTTGTTTGTGGCCACCTGCTGCTCAAATAAAGCAGTCTCCACGGATAACCCCAGTCCACCTGAGCGCAACACAGAAACCACAGCACCACAACCTAACAACACAATAGACCACCCCACAACCACGACAGACCACATAACAGACACAACCACACCACCACCCACACGCCGCCGCCAACAACTCCTGGTTCCTCCTACAATCTGCACCGTATGTCAGACCACGATATTCCGTAATGTGACATCAGTCAAGTGCAACACCTGCCTTGGCTGGTGCCACTATAGGGCATCTTCAATTTAACTGAAACGGGCTTCAGAGCAAGATCGAGGAGATAACCGTCTTCAGGGGAAGGCATGGTATATTGATAGCTGCGGTTCAAGAGACGAAGTTGCACAGCAATTCAACATTGTTGAATTGTGCCGGGTATAACGTGCACCGCCGAGATCGCGAGCGAGATAATGGTGGTGGCTTAGCGGTCATCACGCACCACACCGTGCAGTATCGTCTTATTGAAGCAGACATCGACCGCAGGGATACCACCCTAGAATGTCAGGGCATTGCTATCCGGTCAGGCGATGTTGAGCTCGAAATATTTAACGTGTACGTACCCCCTGTCACTTACTGCCCGGCAGGATATCACCCTGATATAGGTGCGCTCCTCAGAGGTGGAAACCGCACTACGATCTTTGGCACTCAAGCCTGTCAAACGATCGTAGGGGAGCAGACTTGGCTGAGCAGATAGACGATTCGACATTCTGCACAATGAACGACGACGCACCCACCAGGATTATGGGCAGCTGCTGCAGCTCGCCAGGAATAACAATAGTCAGCGCTGGTCTGATAAACAGCATATCATGGTGACCTATGCTGACTTTGGCAACAGACCATCTACCCGTAGTCATCTCGATCCGACTTTGCTTCCGCGGAACACCGGACCAATATCAACTTTTCTAAAGCTGACTGAAAAGGCTCCGCGGAATTTACTGAGAGCACCTTCGCTGAGCTCCCCACACCAACCGACGTCCACCTTGGTGAACGTAAGTTCCGCAGGGTTGTCACTGCTGCTGCAGCTCGCTTCGTACCGGCAGGATGCATTACGGACCCACGTCCAAATTTCCCTACTGAAGCGGCTGTTCTAGCCGATGAGCGTGATAGCCTTCGTCAGGCCGATCCCGGAAATCCTTGTATCAGGGATCTCAACGCGGAGATTCGGCAACTAGTGAACGTACATAAGCGGAAGAAGTGGGAAGAGCATCTGAAGACTTGTAACTTCACCTCTGGCGTGAGTAAGCTTTGGTCAACCATGAGGTCACTGTCCAATCCGACGAAGCACGACGAAAGGGTCGAAATTTGTTTCGGCGACCATGCTTCGTCGGACCCGTTGGACAAAGCCAAGCGTCGAGTGACCAGAAGACTGCACAAACAGTCAACAACTTGTGACCCCTTGCTTTCACTTGCGGTGAAGTTCAGGTGGCCGTCGGGAAGGCGAAAGCCTCCAGAGCCATGGGTCCCGACGGAATATGCATGTTGATGCTGAAAAATTTGGGTCCTGCGGTTCATGCAGCAATCATAACTTTTCGTGCTGTTTTTGTAGATAATCAGAAAAAAGTGGGAGGGGCTTGACTCAAACGCAAGAAGTGGAAAGCCCTAAAGATATTTCAAACAAAAAAGTGACAATTTAGTTTCAGATCTAGAAATTTGAGGTATTCAAAGTTTTCGAACCTCTTTCCATAAAATGGAATAAAATTGACCAGTGACGGCATACTTAAATATTTTCTTGTACTTAAGTTTAAGGTAGGAGCTTAAGTACTTCAGTTTTTAAGTGTGCTATACTAAACCACTTTTTAGATATCTCAAGGACCGTATCGGTTTACCGGCTTTTATTACAAAAAAAATACTTTTTAATGGTTATTTACTCTGTTTTATTTATTGTCACTATTTTTTGAGTATTTATTTTTTATTTTTTACATAGAAAGTTTTTAGTGTTTTCCTTAAGGAGCGGTGGCGAGCTATAAATCATCAAATAAATATTATTAAAGGTTAAAAGTAAATATTCTTAAGGTTAATCTTAATCTTCATCTTCAACTTTAACTTCATCTTCATCTTTGTCCCCATATTCAACTTCATCTTCATCTTCAACTTTACCTTTATCATCGTCATCAACTTCCACTTCAACGTCATATTTATCTTCAACTTCATTCTCATTCTCATCTTCATCGTCATCTTTATCTTCATAGTCATCTTGAACCTTATCTTTATATTCATCGTTATCTTTATCTTAAGCTTCATCTAGGTGCATTCCGAGTCTTTGTTTTTGATTCGGTCTTTGATATAGTCCTTATATCTTTCTATCTCGCTCTTCTCATTCCCCTAGAACAGCAACGTTAGACCTTCAACGCAACCGTCCTTTGTCTATTCGCTCAGCCGCCCATTCTACGCAGGGCCTGGGTTTAAGCCCGGTTCAACCGAACATCAAAAAATAAAACCAAAAAAGGTTTTTTTTTTTAGTAGCGGTCGTCTCTCGCCTGGCAATGGCAAACCTCTGAGTGTATTTTTGCCATGAAAAACAGCTTCTCAAACATCAAGGAGCATACCACAAATCAGAGAAGAAGCTAGGCCAAACACTAATGTATGTGTAAGCGCCAATCTATTATTATTTCTTATTAAAAGACAACGGCTATTTTTCGAGCAAAAAAAAAAACTCAAAAAATAAGTATTAAACTAGATTTTTTTTTTTTAATAAAACTTAAAAAATAAATATCATTTTCGCTGACGATAGTCTAAATAACTACCAACAAGATGGTTTATTCCTCATGCATCCAGCAATTGGTAATTGTTGCTTTTTTATTTTGAACTTTTCAAGATTAGCTTCAGATTTATACGTGAAATTTAGAGGTTATTCTTATTTTACTTATGGGGATTTTTTAAAGCACTTTGAAGAATTCCGATTCTAAAAAAACGTTTAACGGCTTTGTCATGGTTAAAATAATGCGATTACATATGTATGAAAAATCTAATTCAACACAACGGTGAAGCTAGATTAAGCATAAACCTGTCAGCAAACTCTTCTTATTGTTGGACATCTATATTATCATTACACCCTACATAAAAACATATACGTACATACATATGTATATGTATACCATAAGTTCTAGCTAACAAAACTTCACAATCATAACCAGAAAATACCGACTAAAGTGCGCTTAAATTACAACAACTAATTTTTTTATACTATAAAAAGGGAATAATACAACATACGTGCATACATACATACATATAAACATACTTAAAACTGATAAGCGTGAAACCTATCAGCTGAGACTAACTTCCAATCACTAAAACAAACCAACGATAGAGACTTTGGTGCTTAAGTGTAAAGAGTATAAAAATGATCGTTGCTTCTTAGTAGCTAACAGAAAGAAGTGAACATTGAAAGTAGCAATAAGTCGTGCATAAAATTTTGCCTCTTACTAAACAAACTTATAGTTTTGTGAGAACTACTTAATTATATTACAATACAAAGTCAATAATACTGCACAATATTTACAAAATGTCCGCGAAGAATCTTCATCCACTGGTTGGTGCTACCACACGCTATATCGCCGGCAGAAATGCCATGCAGACAGTTTATTGGCGCACATCTGGCGCTGGACCTAATGGCCGAATGGTGAAAATACACAAAAATTGCGAATTCGAAAAGACACAGGATCTGCCGTCGAAAATACGCTTGCAGTATTACAATGAGAACTATCGGGCGAAGATTAAGGATGCACTGTGAGCACTGAAGTGGTTGGCGAAAACACGAATTTTTAGGTTAATTTTTTTTTATGGATGTGTACATAGTATTAGTTTAATATGTTAATTAGCGAAATAGTAAATTATTAAAATTTAACAATCAAATTTCTTTATTTGTTTTTAACGCATGTTTGTAAATATATCACTACAAGTGTGGATACTCCATTAGTCGGGGTAAGTACTATGCAGCGATAACACTATTCTTATTGCGCGCGGCCGACTGTTTCTTTAAACCTGTACATTTGTGTATGGTGTGATTTGGATTGTAGGTCAATGAAAGGCGATACGTTGTAAGTTGTAAAGTAAATGTGTGTATATATTTCCATGAAACGTGGATTCCTGGATCTATGGGAAAAAAGAAAAAAATCCAATGTATACTTACATACATATACATATGTATGCACTATCAGTGGCGGATCTAGATGAGAGCGGGGTGAAGGGGTCGTTACACTTGTTTTCTTATTTCTTAAATAACGTGATTACACTAAAATTTAATGATTCACATTTTGCTTTGCCAATGCATTTGTATTCGTATTTTTTCAAGAACTTTAGTTATTCATAGCTTACTTGTAGCCATGATACAAAAATATGAAGGTAGTTTCACTCATAATGCCACAAGCGTAGGCACCCTAACTTACCCCTGCATGAGAAAGAGCCTCCGCCGAGCTCCGTTAGAGACGTACATCGACCAACTACTGGACCTGAAGATGCACCGACGAGTGATCAACGGCATTCATGGGGAGTCGATCACCACCTAACACGACTGATGATAACCCCAAAAACTCTTTGGGGAACTTACATGCTGTTACAGCAACAACAACCACTCCGGTCTTTGAATACTGCGATCGACTCTCAATTTGTATCACAGCGAGCCCATTGGAAACAGGTACCTGCTTCAACCTAACGTTACTTAGATGGAACGGGACAGCCACCTGGAAAGCTGAAAATCACGTGAAAAAATATTGTAGCAAAGTATAGGTACTCACTTCGTGTTAAAAGTCTTGCAAAACGGAGCGTCTTCCCTGTTTATATCCGGCATTGTCAAAACACGATTATTGCTACCTCTCAATTCGAGAAGTTGGAAAGCGTGAAGCGTAAACACCCTAAAAGTAAAACTCATCATCAAATTTCTCTGGTTTTTTGCGCTTTTCCGGCTTTCGGTGTTCTAATCAGCTGTAAGTTTTGTATGTTGACATGAGCGCTGAAATCCACAACGGGTAAAACGTTAAGTGTGGAGCTGTACTTTACGTTAAGTGTACTTCAACTCATAAGGTTCGGTCTCCATCTGGTCCCTAACCTTACCACACGGTCTATTTTTTCGAGGAAGCATCGAAAGTCAAACCTTTTAGCATTCAAGTACCAATCCCCAATACTGCGGCGAGCTACAACTGTTACCAATTTGCATTACTTATTCGGGTAGCTTCTGCTCGTCTTAGCTGCTGGTGTATCTGTGACTGTATTTACTGCGCTAACAACCATTGCGTGTTCCGCGTCTTCCGTCTCATCAAAGCCGGAACGGTGTAGAAATATTCGGTAGCAACATGGCCTGTCAGAAACTGCATTAAGTGGAAGTTTACTTCACTATTTAATCACTTTTCTATGATTGTCATCAGTCTGAACGTCCACTTTCCTGTAAAGGAATTTTCTCAGTGTTGTTGCCCCTTTTGGCATTATTTCTTCAAATAACAGTTCGATAGGAGTTATGTCTGCGATGAGGGCCTCATATACTAGTCGACGATACTATCTGATCTAAATGGATTTTTCCCAGGCTGAAGTTCCGTACAAAAGCACCAATGCTAATACTCTTTCCAGGATAACATGCTTTCCGCTTCGAGGTCCACCGCTGTTAGGCAGCATTCGAGAAAGGTCCCATGTATCTTTGACCTTTCTGATTCTGTCATCTTTTATAAAACCAAGATATTTCAGATTGCGTACAGATTTGATTAGATACCTATCTACCAAATTGAAGGAGTCTTCTTACGGCTGCTAATAAAGTTCGCTCCCGTTGTTTTCAGGCGTTATATATAAGCCTACTTTGTTAATGTCTATGAGCATCGATATTGCCGTCTACGCTTCTGACTTAATATCCGTCAAGTATTTTGCGACTGCAACCAGCACAATGTCGTCAGTAAAACCAATGATTTCAGTTCTGGTAGAAAGTGGAAGTTTAAGCATACTAGTACGCCTCGTCTTACTGCTTTTATTCTTACCGGCATCGGTGCATCGGTATTCTAGAACTATGTTTACAAGGAAACTTTTTATAATATACATACCAGCCAATCAACCAATCGGATGTCGCTGTGGGTGAGTAGTTAGAGGTTCGTACTACCAACACTCTGAAGGACCTAGCATCTAATTTAGAAAAAGTTTTTCTTAACAGCGTTCGCCTCTCGACAGGTAATGTCAAACTTCTGAGTGGATTTTTGACGTCCGGAGCCGAGGTTAAATTGTAGGTCCCTCCAATCGCCTTATAACATTAGAACCCACGCCACAAATCGGAGGAGAAGCTCAGCCAAACACTTAGCAAAAGTGTAAACATCATAGTATTATTATTATTACTAGTGAACCCGCATGGCGTTTATACGCCCAAAATTTTATTTCAAAAACTTAAAAAATATTCCAAATGTTAGTCAGAGTTATAAGGGATCCGAGTGCCATATTTCATCAAAACAGTGCAGCCGTTTCTGAGTGAAGAGCAGTCTCGCAAAGTGCATATTTTTATTTTCATCGAATTTCAAATCGCCCCATACCGTTGAAAAAAGTTCTTAGTTAAAAAAATAAAACTTTTTTCATACATCTACAAGCTAAGGCCTCTTATTTGACCTCTCATATTTGAAATTCCTTTTCAAAATATTCTCAAAACAAAATCTTCTTAAATCTCTTTCATCTGACATTGTGATACACATGTTCGAACGAATGGCAACCCTCCTAAATAAACATCAGGAACAAATCCCTTTCAAACCCATTTCGATTTATACCCATCTTTTAATAATTCATGTACGTTACTAAATAATTTGAATGTAACTTTTTAAACACGTGGCATCTCTCTTCAAACATTCGAAATGTTCAAACTTAAGATTTCTTAACATTCTTTCGTTTGACTACGGTTATTTTGTATTTCATATACTTTTTGAAACAGGTGGCAGCCCTCTTCAAAAAATATTTTCAGCTTTAATTATTGTTATCTCTCCTTCGCACAGTGTAAGATTTGACCCATCTAGCTGCTTTTAATTCTGTAATTCGAAAACTATCGAAGATAGATTAATGAAATTTTGCACAGGATACGTTATAAGATAGGCGAAGCTTTTTACAAAAAATTGGTAATTTATAGTTACTGTCACGCCACCCTATTATATAACTGCAATTTTAAAAAATGCAAAAACTGAAATATTTAACTAATTACAAACACTAAAATGCCTAAAATTTATATTTAGAATTTCCCTATAACAGGACTGACAAACTGACAGAAATGGACTTAAAAATAAATATATATTTTTTTTTAATTATGGGCGTGGAAAATATCGACAAAAAAGTCAAGTTGGGTCAACATAATTCCGTTATAAGTTCAATATTTCTTGCTCTATTTACAAAAATGGGATACCATTGGAAATGTGATGAATCAGGCTTCTTCTATTCAAAGCAAAAATACAAGAATTTGTCTCGACCGAGATAAAATGCAAATGAATTACTCGAAGAAAATGAAATTCCCAGTAGGCCAGAAAAAAGAAAATTTCATCAAAACCTGCACTTTCCAGCAGCTAAAATTGTGTTGCTTCAAGTCTAAGAGGAGTGGCAAATAAACTGAGATACAAACTTTATCGAATAGTGGCGGATAACGAGTTTTCGGGTCTAATAAAAATAATAGTTTGCTAAAAATAAGTCTAAGTCAACATCGTTTTACTTTAACTGAAATACTCAGTCCTAGTTTACTACATTCCCAAAAATGCATATTCATTAAAAGGATCATACCTAAAAAAATAAGACCAAAATGATATTTTAGCAATTGTTGCATAAATCACATAACACCGACAAATTAAACATTGAGATTCAGTTTTAAATATACAAGTTTAAATATTATTGCCCTCAGTAATTTTGCAAATCAAACCCCGTCCCGCCATACCCTTTGATTTAAATTTTTTAGTAGTTATTGTTTCATCTTTATCAGGCATTTCTAAAAACAGTCTTGACGTTGTTTTGAAATTTGGCGACATAAAATAATGTAATTAATCTTTTCTAGAATATGGAAATGATACACTGTGCTTCGCCCGAAACTGCGATATATCTTTTAATTAACTGATGAATTAAGTGGAATTTAAAATTTTCAAACATGTGGCAACCCCTCTAAATACAGTTCAGAAATAAAGAAATTTCAGACCCACTTCAATTGATACCCATTTTTTAATAATTCATTTAACTTATAAAATAATTTGAATTTAACTTTTTAAACAGGTGGCAACCCTCTCCCAACACCTCAAAAATATTCTTAGCGTTCAAACTAAATATTTCTTAAGACTCTTTCGTTTGACATCCATATTTTGATATTTCGTATAACTTGTGAATAAGTAAACTAAATGCTACATTTCAAACAGGTGGCAACCCTCTTCAAAATATTTTCAAACTACTACTTTCTGAAATCCCTTTCGTGTGTCACCCATATGGTGGCACATATTTCTTTTAACTAATATGATTTTCTTAACAAGTGGTAAACCCCCCTATAGTTCAGCTAATAAACAAAGCTTTTAAAAACCATTTCGATTGATACCCAGTTCGTAATAATTGATTTATTTTGTAAAATAATTTGGATATAATTTTTAAGAGGTGGCAACTCTTTTCAAAAAAGGTAAAACCTTGTTGCACATTTTCAGTCCAAGGCTTTTAGTTTGACGGCACATTTCGGAAAATCGAACGAACGGTGCGGATTTGATGGCCTTGATTATTAAATAATTTGAATTTAATTTTTTAATATGTGGCGCTTTAAATTAACATATCATTTTTGAAATCGGGCGAACGGTACAGATCTTTTATGCTGAACAAAAAATCCCTTCTCGTATTATATATATAGATTATAAACCTATCTATGTTTTAATACCAACCAATTTAGCCTAACTTAACCTAACGTTATTTTATTGGAAGAAATGAAGCGCTTATTGATATATGTATGTATGTTTTTCCTCCATTTCGCAACCGTTAGACGTCACACAGTCTAGAATCACAATTAAGTTTCATTCAAACTTTACTGTGTGACAGCATCTGTTACGTAAGAGGAAACAGTATATTTTATTTTCCTTAATAGGCTGGAAACGTTTATCTAATCTTAGACGAAATTTCTGCGAGACATTTTTTTTTTGGTTTTTTGTAATTTAACTTAATTAGCTGCACAAATAATTTAATTAGACGCATTATACGCCTACTCGTAAATATGGAAGTATTTCGTGTGTGTGCAATATCTCTGGGCTCAAACATATGTATGTATATACTATATAGCTTTCGCATAGTTTCTCACTCTGACACTGGAGTTGGACTAATTTAATTGAATTGAATTTAATTGGACGCAATTTCAAAAAAAAATATTGTTGTTATTGTTTAACATATATACATATACTATCTATACTAATATATGTACAAAACTGAACATATGCACATTAGGATGATAAAAAAATAATAATGTCAGCTCCCGAACTAATTAATATCGAAAATAAGTAGACCAGTATTTTTTATTTTGAAATCGTTTGACATTTAACCGTGCCGTCGGGTTTTGAAGCCTTCCATATATGTATGTATTTTATACTAAGAACATACATTTTTTTCGTAGAACTGCTATAAAATAGCTAAAAATAAATGTTTTTTGCTGCAAAAAAAAATGTTTCACTTCAGAAATAAAATTCGGATGCATATTTAAATTCAAAATTGTTGCTAAGTACTTTTTCATAACCGATAATCTTATGTATTTACAGAATTTAGCTATTTTATGTGTTTGTATGCACATTACGCTCATTTCGAATTAACAGTTCAGTAACATTTTAAAGGTAAATTTCTATCTATTCTATTAATGGAATACTTCTAAAGGGAAATATTTTCATTCGATATATTAATTTTTAATTAATTTTTTTCGAATATATATTTTTAGCGATTTTATGGCAATTTTATAAAAAAATTAATTTATCCAATATGAAATATATAGAACATTTCAAAGCTGAAATATTAACTGATTGCAAAATAATAATATCCGCTCTCCTTGTTTTCTATTTTCTATAGTTCTGGGGGCTGACAGCAAGAAAACTTCTAAAAGTTGATTTTCCTGTGTACTTTTTGGCCACCCTAGTGTGCGTAGATACTCGTTCGTATGTATGTATTATTCTTGTACACAAAATTTAATGAATTTTTTCCGCTGGCTATTTTCCAATCAGTATGTTGCACAAACACTACAAAATTAAAGCATAAAATTAGGCACATAAAATTAGTATAAATTTCAAACTTGAACTAACATCAAATCTTAAATTAATAATTCGTTTTCAAAAATAAGTTTTAGCAATGGCGAAAAATCCCATCAGCGCCAACGAATAGCTACTCATAACTCCCAAACTTGTAGCCGCTGAGCTGCACACCTTTCGAATCGTTTCCGTATATAAGCCACGTCTGGATAGTAAACCTCGGATGCTACGCAATTCCTGTAAGGAATTGAGAAAATTTTAACTTCATTAAATTAAAAAAAATAAAAATAAATTACCAAATCTTACAAACCTCTAAACTCAGCCCTTTTTCCGTTCTGCTCAGCACGAGTGTGTAAATGGAGCCGCTCATTTCATTACCGCAAAATGTCAGCACCAAATGATCGTTAACCGCCTTTACCACCTGTACGGTGCCTTTGAATTGTTTATATGAATTTAGCGCCTCTAATGACCCGCGCTGCTCGCCTACATTTGTCCATAGGCCGGGACTTCTTTCCGTATAATTAAACATGTATTCCAGATTATTATCACTTTCACTCCATATCAGTCGTAAGTATCGTGTTGCTGTATGGTCATTGTATGGTCGCTGGCTCTGAGGTTGTTGTTGTTGCTGTTGTTGTTGATGATGTTGGGAAGGTGGCTGGTTGGTTTGTGTTCGCCGTTGACTGGTGTATTGGTGATTATTATAGTAATTTCGCATCTGGAAAATATGTACTTTTATATATGTATGTATGCAAGTGTATGTAAATATTCGCTATCAAGAAGTTGGATAGATCAACTCAATTTTCAATGGTTGGCATCGACCATTTTTCATTAAGAGGAATTTTGGTCAGAGCTTTTGGGAAATAAATAAAAAAAAAAAACATTTCGAAAGTTCAAAATTTCACAATGTTCGGGATTTTTAATGTCTATTTCTTGAAAATTTAAATAAAAAATATATAACTTCAAAACATTTGAAAAATAAAAAAAATGCAGAATTTTGAAATTAAAAAAACCGTAAAACCAAAAACTTATATGTGTAAATTTTTGGCTAAATAGTTTTTTTGCAATAACTTCAACCAATCCTAAAAGATACTGAAATTTTCAAGAAGAAAATTTTTTAAAGAAATTAATTTTTGAACTGTGAACAAAAAAAACTTTTGCAAACTCTAAATTAGAAACTCATTTTAATTAAATAAAAATTGTTTAAGATAACTTTATTTAGAGTTCGCAAAAAAATGCATTTCGTTGTTTAAAAATTGATATCTTAAAGTTCTGCTCAAAATTCATGACGGTAGTACCAGGGAGGAAATCGGACAAGAAGATATGTTTTTAGTGCTTAAAATCTCACACTAACGAGGTTAAGCCTTTCCCCTCATTCCATTTATATCAAAAAATACGTACACATACAGTGTGTCCTAGACCACCCATCCGCCCCCTCTAAAATTGAGGGAAATGTTTTTTTCTGAAAATCGCATATTTATAACCGACCAAATCAGGGATGCCCTCTCATTTGGTGGTAATTCCCCAGATTCAGATTCTGTGCATAAAAATACATAATTTCTATCGGAAAATATTTTCTAGAATGGACCTTTGGTTAAAACAATTGACAACCGGTCGGTTTAACCCACTTCCGCTCGAAATCGGTTTAAACCATATAAATCAAAGTTTCACACTTTATATAAAATTCACAAAAATTCAAAAAAAATCAAAAAAAATCATCCAAATTTTCTACTTTTTGTTAATTTTTTTAGATGGGTTTTTGCACTTTTTTCCATATAAAGAGCTGTTTTCAAGAAAATTTCTTCTATTCAAATTTCTTAAATCAGTTTGCAGCTCTCAAGAAAAAAATGTTCGCGTATTTATTTCTTCCAGAAAATTTACATCAAAAACAAAGTAATTTTTCAAGCAACAGAAATAATGAAAAAATTTTCTTGTTGCTTAAGCACGAATTTCTTATGAAAAATAATGCGAGAGACCGTTAGCAACAAACTTTCAAAAAATCAACGCCAGCTTTTGTAAATTGCACTTCCTCGTAGCGAATGTCATGCATTAGTCACTTAAGAGTCTTGTACGGAAAAGTTACGTCTTAAATGACTTTGGGCTCCGTTTGTATGGAAGTCGTTCATGACTTTTTCATATAAATGGTAATTTCGTCGTTGGTATCATCTGCATGACTTGGTCATGCAGGGATCTTTAATGATATTCAAGCGACAGTATTTTGCAATGGACTTTTTATAAGTGACCGCTGCAAGACATTGTTTGTTATAAGTCTTTGATAGGAGTACACCTGCATAACATTGTCACCAGTGTCATTGTCAGCTATATGTCGTTTAGAATTCACAGCAAGTGCGACGCTGTCACTAAATCCTCATTAGTGACGATGTCACCGGTGACCATTTTCTGTACTGGGTTGTTATATCAAAAAAAAACACAAAAGCAGTCTCCAAAAAAAAAAAACAGAAATGCTCAAAAATCAACGCGATTTTGTAGCCGGTTGAAACTTGCTATTCACCATACTAAAGTTGAATGGGCTAAAAAACGGCATACCCGAAATTTTCTAGAAATTCTGAATAAAAGGTTGAAAATTTTGATGAAATTTTTTTAATTTTTGCGAACTTTATATTTAGTGTGAAACTTTGAATTATATGGTTCATATTATAGAATGAACTACATTTTCATAAATAAATAATGCAAAAAATTGTTCATGAAAATAATTATGAATATTATATGAGAGCAAAGTGTACACTTTCATTTGTCGCCTAGTGTATGTTTGTACGTATGGCTAGGCATCGACGAAGACAAGATGAAATTGCGCCTGGGCAAGACACTACCCCAAAATCTTCCACTTGCGAAAAATAACTATTGCCAGCTGGTTCTTTTATTTCGATAGGCAATCGAAAATCTTTTGATGAATAAAAATGACATTCTACAGCCAAGTATCCCATAATATCTTTCTAGGTGGCGATAAAATGTGACGGCATCGAAACGAATTTTCGAACAAATTCCATACTTAAATCGCACTGCCTATTCTATACAGATAACGAATATCAAAGAAGGTACCCACCAATATACAGTAATGATCATTGGCCCTATTAATAGAGATGATAGGGTATTGAAACAGAGTAAACGGAATCTTAAAGATCAACAATGGCCAAAGACTATCCTTGCCAAACGAGAGTATAAACAAAAAAATATTAAACCATTTCTAATTGTACACCGCTCAATAGTCACTTCTATTGAGCTTATTCTGGTAGTTGTGCAGACATATCACACATAAGAATAAAAAATAATTCATTAAAAAGTTATACTTACTTGTTCTGTTATGTCATTCAAATGAATTATTACGCAACTATCATACTGGTATACACCTGGAATATCCTGCGTATGAATAATGATCTCGTTACCATACCATAATCCAGTGATCTGTAAAAGAATACGAAAATATTCAATTGAGATCTAGTAATATCTTGATTGTGACGCAATAAAAGTTATTCTATATACATACTTATAAATCTTTAACTACATTCAATATAAGCACGCATTTTTGCAAACATACATACATATTTGTGTACATTAGGCATATGATTTTTTTTTCGTTTCTAAAATTTCATTTTTTCTTGTGGGCGAAATTATCGTATGTGCCACACAAAAGTAGTTTGTATATACATATCAAGCCTTAACCGCCAAAAATATGTAAGTGGTATATTTTCAAAATTTAAATTTTTTTGCAGAAATGCATCTACATTCATAGTACATGCATCAAAAAGAAATTTTTTGAAAATATGTCGCTTACATCTCTTTGGCGGTTAGGGCTTGATATGTAGCAAAAACAAATATTAACAAAATAATTTTAAAAAAATTGAAAAGCAGAAAAACGCTATCCTATAAAATTTGGTTTCGGGCATGTACGATAATCTCGTTCAAAGGGGTCGATATGTATAAATATATGGAAAATTCCATGTTAACCGAATCGTTTTTGCGAAAAATTATTATCTCGCTAGGGGGCGCCAGGGTCGGGATATTTTGAAAACCCGTAGTTATGGTCCGATTTGGTTCAAATTTGGCGTACTAGGACTAAATAATTAAGAGTTATAAGTTAAGCCTATTGGTATAATAAATAAAATCGTTTAAGATTACGGTCTTTTCAGTTTGAATGTGTACGTTGATCACGTTCGACATGATGGAAGTGTCCATTTGTATTAATTTTATATGTTTTTGTGAGTGCAAAATGTTTTTTTTTCTTGGAGTTCCCTGCGGCAACCTTTTGTACCAAATTTTCACAAAAACGTAATTTTTGTTGGTTTTGCATTATTCCTCATGCTCGCCTCATAGGTTTATTTAATTTTAGAAAAAGTCATATGGCTAATGTACGTACGTACTATATACCTACATTTGCATCCACAACATGCGAATACATACTCATAAACGAAAACAATCTTCATGCTTGTCATGTTGATGGCCGTTAAATGGACTCTTCGTTAATTGTATTATTAAATTTACGTAACCTTTTGTTGACTTTCTAAAAGAGTCAACTTTAGGGCACCAGAAAAGATTCGGTATGTGGAGTATGCATTTAAATGTGTACATACTATATACTCACATACTAATGGACATTAGACTGAGGCGGGGAAAAACTCACCGTCTTCTACCCTTTTAAGAGAAGTAACATAATTATTCCCTTTCTTCATTCTTCTTAAATGTACCCTATGTAAGTGAGTGTGAAATTTCCCTTATTATTACTTATTATTTCGTAAACCTTTTATTATTACATCAATGATTATTTATTGATTGATTGACATTAGATAGATGTGGGATATTTTTTATGCCCGTCAAATGGCGAAAAAAAAGATTCGCCACCGAGAACAGATAAGGAATAAGAAAGAATCGATTGTTTTTCTCTAGTAACTAAATGAATCATCGTATCATTTAATCAACTGTTCTGACTACAATTTTTTTAATAAAAAAAATTAGTCGGTTTTGTTTTTTTTCAACCTGCAAGCTCGAATAAGTGATATATGCATACATATGCATAGGTAAATATAATAGTCCTAGACGACTTGCTTAGTACAAAACTTAGAGCTTATTTGTCGTCTATTAAGATGAGCCGAGCATACGCTTCTTTGAAATCGTTGGAAATGCCCATTATTATAATATTACGGGCGCATACAGTGACTCAAAGAAGTATTCACATGTTGATTTTGTATACACAAGCACATTTGTGCATTAGTGTATTATATATAACTAGGCCCATCGGTCGAAGCCGTTTCCCCCGAATTTTCAAAGGGGCTTGGCTTTTTTGTTTTTAAATTAAACTACTATTTTACGCATTACGCATCGAAAGGGTGGAAAAAGTTTTTCAAATGACGAGGAGGTGATGGGGAGGTGAAGAAGTAGGGCAAGGAGCTGGTGGAACACTTTTTCAAGGCAAGCATGAAAAATAGCAATGAAAGGAATGGCGACTAATATTTTGAAGTCTACACAAGTTGGGGACACTTACTTACATACTATTTACTTTCTGAACGTGCCTCGAATGAGTTTTTCAATCGGTACCTACAAAACAAACACAATTTAAATAAAGAAGCCTAAAATTATACTACAAATATTCATTTAAGTATTCATGAGCAAATTTACATAAAAAATTATTATTTTTATTTGAATTTTACAGAGGGGATAAAATTATTATCAATAAAATTGCTGATGGAACCGGCAGTTAAACTTAAAAATAGAATTCATGTTTTAAACTTTGAAGGGCTAAAGATATATTTAAGCAATTCGCAAGGAAACATAAAAGTCATCTTATGAATTTTTACACTGTTAAAAAATAGTTCGTTGTGTTTTCAAATCTTCTAAATATTTATTAAACCGTTAAACACTTTAAGACTTACTCCACTTACGATACCTTGTGAACCACCTAAATATCTCCGACACAAGATAAGAGCAATAATTGTAAATGTCAGAGCGAGTTTTCTACAAAAAAAAATGGTTGGTAATGAAATTTTATTGCGAATAGTTATAGCCAGAAACCGCGTTTTTTATAACAATTGATTTGAATGTCTCGTGAACCTGAGGTGATGGATCAAATCTGTCTCCGGACAACCCTTTGAAAAAGTATAGCCTGGCCTTAGGATCTTGACTTTTGTCAAATCTAGTAGGCCTCTCATGAATGCATATCTCTCGATTTCTTATCTAAAAATATAATACTTATCATAACTAAACTACACTTATACATCTATTGACAACTTTTGCCTATTTATTTTTTTATTATTTAACTTTAATTATTTTTTTTTTTATAAAAATATAGTTTATTTTACAACAGAAACCATTTAAATCCAAGTTACAAGCTTTGTACAAACATTTAGAAAAAAATCATCAAAATTTGAAATTTTGTATTTAGATTTTTTTTTTTAATTTTTAGAAGTTTCATCAACATTTTTTATTCAGAAGTTTTAGAAAATTTTTGGTATGCAGTTTATAGCCCACTCAACAAATGGAAATTTGACAGGCTTGTGTATTTTCCTCCATATAAAAAAAAATCGTTGAACATACACTTGTGGTCAGCTAATTTAGTTAAGTGACATTTCGACTAGTTTTGGCCATTTTCCTTTTATTTATTTAATGTTAATATTTTGTTTCAAGCTTAGTATTATATATATCCAAAACCATGTAAATCCACATTTCAAACTTTGTACAAAAATTATAAAAATTCAACAAACTTTAGCAATTACACTCGAAAATTTCAAACTTTCTTTTCAAAATTTTTTTAGAAATATTTTAGGAATGCAGTTTTTTAGTCCATCAAATTTTAGTTCAAATTTACAGACGCTACAAAATCGTGTAGATTTTTAACAGTTTTTTAGCCGACGGTCTTAGGCATTTTCTTCCATATAAAGTACCTATGTATGCTCGAAAATTTCAGCAAAAAAAAATATTAAAAATTTTCTAAAAATTTCCACTACAATTTAATGGGCCATAAAACTGCATACACAAATTTTTTTAAAAAATTCTGAATAAAATGTTTGAAATTCTGAATAAAAAGTGTAAAAATTTTAATGACATTTTGTTGATTTTTTTTTTAATTCTTGCACAAAGTTTGTTATTATTATGTCGGACACTATATTAAAGACTCATTTTGGTGGAAATTGCATATAGTGTTTTTTTTTTGTTGAATAGAAGCCCTCAATACATATTATAAAGAAACCAATAACTATAATGTAAAAAACCGCACTTGTTCAATATCCACAGAGTGTTGAGGCTTTATGTCCATACACAGCAATGAATTCGTATAAATATTTCGATCCGTACTTGAAATCCCCTCTTCATAGCTTTGATACTGATTTAAGGCAAAGCAGCAAAAAATTACAGAATTCCAGAATAAAAGAAAACAAAACAAAAATTTCGGCTGCATTTTATATAAATAATTTTATTTTTTTTTTTAATGTTAATACGAAATTTAATTAAAACACTTGATTAACGTATTATTTTATGATTTTTCCGAAAGTCAAACGCAACAGCGCACACAACAACGTTTAAGCTCACAGCACAGTTTCAAACTGGTGAGGGCGGCTCATCACTTAAGCAGATCAGGAGCGATAAGCGATATTTTCTCCAGTAGCGTCGCTTAACATTTGATTTTGTTATTTTGCTGTTGTTGTACAGTATTTGTATAGTAGTTGTTGTTGCAATGTTTATTCTTCTTGATGTTACTAGCTATTGACATTAATAAAGAGGATGGATGGGAGCTGCTACTATTATTCCAATAACACTAGCGACGAGCATATATGCTCTCGCATCTGGAAAGCACGGACTAATTTAAGTGCAGAAATTGCTGTTCATACATACAAACGTTCATCGGCGCTTAAGTGCCGACATACATACATATTTACATATGTATATACAAACACACAGCATGTTGTGGCGTGTATGGCATCGGAATTGTGTAGTTGTTATGATGAGTAGTGGGTCGAAGTATTATACAAATTGCATACCAATATAAATTGGAAGAGCTTCAAATGGTGAGCGTAGAGAGAAATTTACTACCCGCCTCCACAGAATTGAAATTGTCAATTAATTTTGCGGGTTCGCCAAAGGGGGCTGATGTTGCTGCCCTTTATACCGCTATAAATGGCGTTGACCGTATGTGATCTACTCGAATGGTCCAGTTTGTTAAATGCTTGTATGAATCATGCACACTGAGAAAGTCGAAGAGTTTCATACCCAATACAGTAATTTTAAATTGTCTTCTTGGAAGTAATGCATATGTGGAGTTATAACTTTTGCTAAGTGTTTGGCCCAGCTTTTCCTCCAATTTGTGTTTAACGAGAGATGGTTTATATGAGAAGCTTTTTTCATGGCAGAAATACACTCGAAAGTTTGCCATTGCCATTACTTGCCGAGGGTCAACCGGTATTAGAAACAACTTCGACGTTGCTGGCACCAGAAATCGAACCCTGGACGCACAGATTGGTAATGCACACCTCTGTCCACTTGGTCTCGGCAGCCTTTTGTCAAAACATTTGATGCGGCACTGCCTTCTTAGTGCACGCATCGCCTCTTATCTCACTAAGCAAGATGTTGAACATTTTTGGAAACTGCGTCTTCTTCTTAAATAATGGTAATAGTGGTTCTAATAAAAAATTAGTTTTAAAGACACGTGCGTCGAGTGTACAAAGCTTGGATTAGTTTACAGCCCTGCCTTTAACAAAAATCCTCTTTGCGATGCTCGCAGCGATCTCTTTCAAGATCCCAGAGCAGGCTCAAAAATACTGAAATAGTCTCGAAGATTCCGAAATTATTTTTTTTGCACTGAATAAATAGCCAGTATTTAAATACTAAGTCATAAGTACTAAGTGGTTTTGTATCCAGTATATAGTGAAGCCATAAATACTAAATACTTTTTTATCCAGTTTTTATTACAGCCAAAGTCTCAAAGAACTTCTTACGTGCGTTTCGTTAGGTGAAACTAACTAAATAATTTTAAACTAAGTATTTAGCGCTGTGAAAACAGGGACTTTTATTAAACAAATCGCTCTTTAACAGTTATTTTTTTACTTTTCTTTAATTACTCCTCAAATAACAGTTATTTCTGATTTTTATTTTATAAAGCCAATGTAACAATTATTTTTGATTTTTATCTAAATAATCTGCAAATAACAGTTATGTTTGATTTTTAAATTAAATATCTTAGAAAACAGTTATCATAAATAAAAATCAGGCAGTGAATTTTACTTCTAATAGTCATCAATATAAATCAGTCACTGACTTTTGTTATTTAAATCAAACTCATAAAAGTCATTTGTATAAATCGTAGTAAACTTTTGTTCTCCAACACCTTTTTAACTGCGAAAAATGATACATGACTTTTATACGTATGACTTAAAAATTAAAAGTCGGTGATTGATTTTATTGATGACTTTTAAAAGTAAAAGTCTTCGATAACTGTTATAAATACATATAATATGAAAAAACAAAAACAACTGCTATTTGCAGATTATTTAGATAAAAATCAAGAATAATTATTATTTTGGATTTATAAAATAAAAATCAAAAATAATTGTTTTTTTTTTTGCAAATTGCATTGCAAAAAAAAATTTATTTTCAAATTTGATTCTCGGTGAAAAAAGAAATCGATTGGTATGTATTAGTAGTGAATATTTCAATAACAGTTTTGCTCGGTATCTGTGTGAAAATAAATAAACACTAGCACACTCGATACTTACATATGTACGTAAGTAAATTGTACTTTGGTATTTACCATAACATAAATACCTAAATACTAATACTAAAGTACTTAGTACTTAATACTTAGGGGTCGATAACGGATAGCAACGCAACTGATAAGAAAATTTGTATTATGAATAGCAACTACCGTCAGTTGCTTCAGAGTTATCGGTAATCGAAACTTGACAGAACGCCAACCAGCAAGTGGTTGTAAACAAAAGGAGCTTCAGTTGATAGAGGAAAAAATTTGCAATCAGTGTTCCCTTTTGTTACACCAAAAGTGCATTCTCCACGGGAACTAAACTTTCAAGTTGTAGTTTTGTTGTTATTTTCACAATATTCAGTAAATGAGAACTGCATTGCAAAAGGTTAATATTATTCAAACTATTAAAAACTATATAAAATATTTCACATAATTTTCAATTTTCGCTTTTAAATGCGCTCCAAAAACCTTCCCAGCAACCATAAAAATGTAGTTGCCTGAATACACACTTTGTAGCAACTGCAATTGCCAGTTGCTATCTGTAATATCGTTTCGGCAACTAGCAACGCAACTGAGCTTCGTTTGCTATCGATAATCGACCCATTAGTAAATACAATTTTTGCCCATCACAGTTATGATCAATCGAGTGCCGTAGTCCCTCTGCGAAAGGATAATACGGAAATTGTGGAACCCACAGCTGTTGCGAATGAATTTAACACTCATTCCACCACATTAAGTCAAAAGGTTTGTTCCACACGCTTTCCGGGTTGTTTCGGAATTGTTTAAATTCTATACCCAACATATGTGCTCTCTTTTTTTAAACTTGGAAGATTTGAATTTGAAACTAAAATTAGTTTGGTCACATATGTAGTCTAAAAAGTTTAAAATTAAAACCGAAATTTTTAACCGTGTATGATATTGAGCCATTTTTTTTAAGTCTGACGGATTTCGTAAAAAAAGTTATATCATATCTCCGATCCGCTTAAAATTTTTTTTTTTATAGGTTCTATACATGAAATAAGCTAACACGTATTCGAGGAAATTTTTTCTTTGGAGATGTGATCTGTCAAAGCTTGGATTTTTTTGGTGATTCAGACTAACCATGTGCTTCTTCAAATCGTTATATCTCGGGGTCTGCTCATCTTAACGTCGTTTTAAAGCTAAAGAAATGGGCTTAACATTTCTATGCATAAGATGGTCATGATTGTCCCAAAGCCAACTTAGCTATTAACAGTTTAACTTTTTGAAGTTGATTTGCATTTGAAGACTAGTAAATTAGGGATTAAAAATTACGCCATCTTAATCCTTGTTTAATTCTCTATAAAAAGCATGGTTCAAAAAAATTGGTGTTTTTCAAGAACTATTTTTAAAATTTTATTTTTTTCTTTATGACGAGATGGTTCGTTTTTTTGTGAGAATCAGCAATTTTTTTTAATTTGTTTTCGAAAACTTATGTATGTTGAGATATATTTAGCAAGGTGTTAAAAATCGGGTTTTTGCAAAGATTTTAATTTGATTGTGGCTTCCGATAGAATACTTATCCAGAAATAATATTTGTACGGCACGATTTTTCTTTAAGACGACAAACCCCTAGAAATGGGCGTGGGATTATAGGATTAAAGTTAGCAAAACGCAGATTCGATATATTTTTGAAGCGAATCGGAAGTGTGACACCATATTTGGTGTACGATATGAAAAAGAATGCCTCTATTGTAAATGTAACGTTGCCAGTGAAATAATGGACCATACACCTTTGTTAGATTTCCCTTTATTTTATCTACGTCTGATACAAATTCTAGCACTACTTAAACCACTATGTATCTAGTATGTACATTAAAAAATTGTTTATAAAAATATTAAATTTCCATTTCGAGTTAAACGTTCATTCTTAATTATGTAGCATTTTGTATGGAAAAATTAATTTTGTCCATTATCCAATCCACGTATTTTTCAACGCGCACATATACGCCCGGTTTATTTGCGTAGCCGCAGTGTTGTCCCCATGAAATTATGCCATACAGTGTTTCACCATCTAAAAGTAAAAACAAAAATGTAATTTTAAATTAGAACACTATTTTTTCACTAAATATTGTATTGTTATTTTAAATTAGAACACTAGTTATTTTATCTAAATATTGTATGTGTGTATATTGGCGTGCAAAAAATGGAGCATTTCCACCGGAATTGTAAAATTTATTATATTTTAAGACTTTCTTATATTCGGAAAAATAGTAAGATCTGTTTGAACTAGAACTATTTGAAATTACCTCCAAAAATTTCATTTTTTTTTTTTTGATGCCGTTGATAAAATTTTTAAACATTTTTATGCAGACTTTTTAAACTGAAATTCTTTTATCATAGTGGATTAAAAAAATTAGCTAATTTTATTCATAAAAACTCAATTTTTGTAGGTATTTTCAAACATGTGCAGCTGACGTAAAGCTTAGTTTTTTCGAAATATTTAGACAGAAGTCCCAGAATATATAACAAAGGATTTATGTATGCATACCCTCGTCGTGACAAATCAGCGGCCCACCAGAGTCGCCATCACAAGCATCCACGCTCTCGTCCATATAACCGGCACAGAACATGCCTTCAGTCAAGCTGGCGCCATAAACATGAGGCTGTTTACAAACATCATCGGACAGTATAGGCAATTCAGCGGCGCGTAATATATTAGAAGGAGCTAATCGAGATTGAAATTTAAAATAATAATCACTTATATTGCATTGCATATAATTTTTGTAGCAATAAATAGGCAAACATACTTGAAACACCGGATTTAATAGAGCCCCAGCCGGAAATTGTGCACTTGCGATTCTCGGTTACAGTGGCATCCTTACTCGGCAAGCACACCGGTTGTATATAATCATTAAATTTGACCGGTGTTTTCAGCACAATCATCGCTATGTCGTTATTCATATGCGTTGCGTCGCGGAATTTTTCGTGCACATACCAATTTTCAATGAACGAATCTATTTCTGAAGCCTCAGCTATATTGGCATAATGATCACCCAACCGAACCAGATAGGCACCCTTCGGATAACCAGCGAGGCAATGCGCCGCGGTGAGAAGATGACGCGAAGAAATCAGCACAGCGCCACACCAATGGCTC